GTTCTGGCCCCCAGACCCTCATAGAAGTCCCCGATGTGTACCAGACTACCAGTCTGTCTCTCTGCTGTTAAAGTGGAGAGTCGTAGTTACCAAGAAGCTACATATAACAACGATGTGGCGTTTCCTTAATTGTGAGCCCCCGGCAAAGAAGCATAAACAGTCATCCGATTGCTGATGACTGCTGATATGCTGTTTCATTACTGTAATTTGCTCCAAAATTGGCGGGCCTACAGCTTTGCTGGCGGGCCTGCAGCTTTTAGGAGCTATAGGCCCTGCAGGCCTACAGCTTTTTCTGCTCAGTAGCAAACACTGTTTCACGGACCGGCTTATTAGTTTAGTGCAAGATTATTAGTTCAGTGCAAGATGGCATTTTGTGTAACTGTTATTCAGGTTTGCTGTGGTGCCCCATATGTCCTTTCCTTCTTGTAGAATTTCAGTGAACTTGATTGTTCACAATTGATACATGTTCGGGGCATGGACAACCACTGGCCGAGCTTCCGCAACGTCTGCAAGTACCTTTGTCCAAAGTTACCACCTGTCGTGGAAACACTGTGTAGTGAGGTCACTGGCTCACCAGTGGAGATATTTGGTGATGGGTAGGTTTGTTGTGTCTTTCTCACCCTTTTACTAACCCAGGGTTCATAGTAGTAAGACACATGTTGAAATAAGGACGTATAAGACCCTTTCTGGAGGCCAAAATAAGACTTTTTTACGCGATTTCTGATAGATCACCGACTATTAAAGTACGCTAATAATATTTATATACACAATTGCACGGCAGATTTAATTATTCCGTATTATATATACAACAATTCTTACTCTAAGTCGAGAAAAAATAAAGACTATTAAGTACTTTGCTAAGATTTCACCAAAAATAAGTACTAATAAGGGCCCTTATTTTATTTTTGGCAAAATAAGTACTTATAAGACTTTGGAAGACCCGCTACGAACCCTGTAACCACTTACCTCACACTGTATTAACATTATACACATTGTACACATACTGTCTGAAACATGTACTAAATCCGCAGGGCAAGCTTGGTTACTCAACTTGTACACATGTAGCGTAGAGTTGGAGACTGGAACGAATCTGCGGTATTGCAGTGTCCCTTTAATAGTTTTCACCATGTCAAACCTGTCCTTTAACTCTGAAGCTGATTGAATTACATCCTCTGGTGTCACATTGAAAAACGTGATAGCAGGGATATTCTCCACTCAGAAAGCCATAATTCCGTCCGCTGTCAGAATCTGGTCATTATATGGGCGCTGCAGGCTAGCCTTGGTGACTAGTTGCTTGACAGTCCCTCCTATATCGTCACAGGCACTCTTGCCATGTGATGTTGCAAAGAAGTTCTGAGACAGTAATGATGCAGAACTAGAACCAGAACCATCTGTGCAATCAGAAATAAAGGAACAAAACTTGGTCTGCTGTCTTTATGACGGCTTTCCGTGGATTGGCATGGTGGACGAAATTTCGGAGGAGTTTGGTGACTACCACATCAATTTCATGCACCCTCATGGACCTACCAAGCAATTCAAATGGCCATTGGAAACAAATCAATGCTGGGTTACAGAAGATGATATTCTGTGTACAATCAACACCCCATCTCTTACATCATCCTCTTCCAGAAAGTAACTTATCTCAGAAAACGATGCTGCGAAGATTTCAAGTGTGCATCCAGACTTGATCATTGATGAACAATGAATTAGTGATAATTGAGAACATGGTAATATAATGAATTTTCATAAGACTGAATAGTCATTTAGAAGGTTATTGCCACCTGTCATTCTGAATCAGGTTATGTACAGCAAAGCCAATGTTTGGGTTTAACTTGATATCTTAAACAGATTGGTATGGTATACATATGTGCCTACATGTACAGCATTGCATAGGAATATAGGCATTATTTCACCTACTATGCAAACTTTGAGAAGAGCTGGAAAGCAAACAAAAAATATTATATCTCTAATTTTTGTATATTATGTAGAAAACATGTTGAGGTATAATTTTCAATGAAGTTCATCTCAAGGTTACGTGATCCACAGGGTCAAATTCAAGGTCAAAGTAAAGGTCAAAAGGTCATCAAACTTTATACTGCTCCTATATAACAAATAATGACAGATTTCCAAAGACACCAATATCAACCAATTTGGCCTAGTAGTTACAAAGATATGACCATTTGAAAATTGACGGATGCGTCCATTTTGGCCAAAATCGCCAAAAAAGGGCGTGGCGTAGCGCAAAAAACGTTTGTCCGATGGAGCTGAAATTTGAAATTTCAGCTTTTTCAGCCGAAATTCCCCCATAAACCAAATTTCAGCCAATTTGAAGTAGGTCAGGTGTAAATTTCCATTTTTTTTTGATGATTTGACACGGAATGACCCACATCTCACTCCAAGCAAAGTAACCATGCAGTTCCAGAAAACAACATCCACTATCTAATCAAATAATTAGAAAACCTATGATTGCAGTTTTATTGGTATAAAGGTAGATTCACGTTGTAACCAATATTAATGGGTGAAAAAGAGAAAAAATGTCCTAACAGTGAGCATTACTCAAATAGGTTATAAAAACGTACATAAAATAGTTTTTATTTTTTTATAATTAACATAATATTGCATGTCAATGTTTCAGGTATGTTTCCCACATCCCAGATGCACTGAGAAAATCACACAAGGCATACAAAACAACAGCTGTCGAAAATAACTGCATGTATATGCGAGGGTGTCGATGTGCCTGTGGGGCCATCACAAAGAAAGCTTTCTTGAGATTTGCCGGCGTGGTCAGTGGTGCTACCCAAGTAGATGAACATGTTGCAAAGGTAAATTTAGCAAATTCCTATTTCTTATTTAATTATCATGTATGAAAAAATATGTTCCTTCCAAGTACTTTAATGTCATTTTTTCCCATTTCATTGACTATAAGTAATTTTAGTTTGCATCAGGTTCTGGAACAACACACGACTGTTGAAGGCATAAGGATCTGGGCATTTGAAGTCATGGAGGAATGGCAAGTGATGGAGGGCCTAAATTTCGTTACCTCGGCTCCCGACGAATTGGTAAAACAGGTTATCAAGGAAGAACTCTACAAAACCGCACGCCATAGTGACTCAGGTATTCTTACTTTTTTTACAATCAACAGCTATGTAGTGCTTAGTGAATTATTTGTTGACGTAAATAATATGATTAGATAATAACTGCAGGAGTTAAATTAGGATTTTCCTGCGTTTTTACCAAATTATACAAAGATGCAAGTTTACACATTCTTGGGCTTGCCTTCTGTACCTTAATTATTCACCTTTGTAAATCGTAATCATGCACTGTGAAAAATCAACTCCTGACTCTGATAATATCTTATACTTGGCAGGTCCCATACAGCTAATGTGCATCAGCAGATATCTGCACAAAACCATCAAAGTATATGCTCACGTGCAGGTCCAGCAGGTGCGAGTCACAATTGGAGGAAAAACTCAAGCTAGTACTTACCATTACCAGCACAGCTACCATCACCGGATGGCACCCCGAGGTGAGTATATATCGAATCCCGTTCTTTAGCTTGCCAGACTGCTAATCTTACAAGGTTTGTTACCGTCTTGTACTATATTTGAGACAGTGTTAGCTTCTTACCTTGATCAATGTCGCTGTCCAAGAGCTGCTCATCGGGCTCATGTTGTTGCGCTCCTACCTAGTACATAAATAATTGTATTATAGAGTTGAATAAGTAAGGCATAAACGTTTACTATTGCTTAAACATAACTGAAAGTAACCTGAGCTCCATGCATTCAGGGGGCCAACATGTTGTTTAATTGGTCACTCAAACATCACAATGGGTCGCTAGTGATGTCAGCATCGTTATGTTTGACGCTGGCGCCATACTGTGGTTTTTGTTTGAACACCAAGTAGCATCATGTAGTCATGTAGAACCAATTAATGACTCCGCCACCGGAAGAGCTATTCGGTAAATATTGCCACCAGTACTCGACCGTGTATGGCTGCAAGTGAAGCCAAGTTGAGAGGAAATGCGCTATCTCACCATATCGCTGAAGCGCAGACACTATGTGGTGTCCGTGTCGGTCAAGCTCATCGTATTATCGTGTCATTGGCGAGTCACCTTTATTTTATTTTCATACAAGGAATGTCCGTCGTTACCTACAACATAGAAATGAGAATTTAGCAAGATCAGGGGGTGAATAATCAAAGATTTGTCATTCACAGTCATTTTGTAAGTAATATATATCAGGATTCTCCAAGCTTTTAAATTATAGCATGGGGTGCTACTCACTGCTAGGGGGGCGCGGGGGAACGGCCCTCCAGAAAATTTTTGAATTGTAGAAGCTCTGAGATGCAATCTGGGACACTCTGTGTGTAAATTTGAAGCACTGCATGTGGGGGAAAAATGTTTGTTTTGCATGGGCAAAGCCATCGGAAAATTCAAAATAATTAATGGAATAAAAATACCAAAATGTAGGGGTGAACTTGCTGGTTTGCTGGTTCCAAATAGAATTCACCTCTCATAAATAAATTGAAAAAATTGTGTCACCATTGACAATGGCAGGAGTGGTCGGTAAGTGTACCAGTCTACTCTACCTCGTGTAAGACTGGGTTACCTGCCCCGTAATAATGCCGTTGGAAATTAATTCACGATTTAATTCACGATTAAGATTTCTTGAGGAGCTAGCTAGAAAACGCTCGGATTTTAAGTATGAAAATGAACATTATTGTGCCAGCTAGCCTACACCAGTTGGTTGGGATTGATTGTCAGTTCAGATGCAAAATATTTAAAGCAAAAGGTTATACACCAGATTAATTTTGGTACTATAACACGCGTATATAAGATAGCCGAGTCGGTTTAGAGTTAGTGTTAGGGTTAGGGACAAGGATAGGGATAGGGTGACTGTTTGTATTAAACATTTGAACTTCATGTGTATACACCAGCATGGCGGCTATGATATTTAGCGTGGCGGGTGCATTTTAGGATGGCGGAGCTCGACGATAGCTATAAGTGCCCTTGGAGAACCCTGTATATGTAATCATAACGATGTAACTGCATAGTGCATACATGAAACAGGCACATGGATACAATAAGCTTTGGGTCTGTCTCCATACCACGCCGAGCACGGCTAGTAAAAGCTGACAAAGGCTATAAGGGTAATTGGAAGGCACAACAATTGTATGATTGTATGGTGCGCAACATGTAGTTCAGCAGTTTTATTCGCACAAAACATGCAAAACCGGGACGCGAGACTCGATACATATAAGGAACTATGCCCTAACATAGGTCACAGAACCAGCGAAAAAAATACACGGGAGCGGCGAGCGATTTCGCTCCCGTCAGCTTTCAAAGCGCTCTGGTAACAACAATTACGAGAGCGAAAATTTTGGAAGATACGAGAAAAAATCGCTCCCGTGCCGCCGGCAGCATTCGAACCGGAGGCGCGAGCCCACCAAGTTTTTGCTCGGGCCACCATCTCTACGATACTCCCGGTCCTCCTTACCGGCACTTTTTCCCCTCATATTACGATGAAATACTATGGTTAGCCTCCCTCAACGCATGATTCGCCACACGAACAAAAACTCGCCACAGTCTAAGAAATCGATTACGGGCATGTAGACAGTAGTGCAGCCCAGTGTTTTTATAACCACATAACAATAAGTTTTTATATCGCAGGGGTTATCGTGGGGAGTGAGGGCATGACCAGTGACACATGACACGCCCGTAATCAAAGCTGTTAACTGAATTCGTCACTTTTCTTAACGTAGAAAGTGGACTATTTTTATTCAGTTAGATATCGAGAAGCAATGTAAACTGTATATACTTAAAGATTCTAGGCACTTGTAACTTTGCTGATGTGCGACAGCATTGATCTATGCATGGGGGTACCGTGGACTGGGGACGAGAAAAGCGAAAGTAAAACCTTGCCCAGAAGCTCCCGGCATTCCTAGAGATTCCAGTACAAGTTTTTTTTAACATACTCAAAGTAACTAAAAACTCTCTCTGAAGTTCTGAACTTGCTCAGTCGATGTAAAAAGAAAGTTGAAAGATGAAAAGAAATGAAGTAAAAAGAAGAAACTTGAGAATAACCATACCATCCTTACCATGATTATAATTCTTGATTTCCTGTCTTTGTCATGTTACCTGACTATGTGTACTGTTTAATGCATGTCTGTCTGTGTGAATGAAATTGAATAAGAATGCGATTGGTTTCTTAGTCGAGTGAAATTAGATAAAAAAATGTGATCGAATGTAATTTGTTGACGATTTCTTAACACTGATAGTCTGATACTGGTGCTGAGTGCTGAATGCTGATGAATGATATTAGAGTCAGTGCATCAAAATTATGGAAATTTTTTACAAAATCATGCTATGAAAAAGTAGCTCTGGCCAAGCTTAAAATAGCTCCCGTAAAAAAAATTACGAGAGCTCTTTATTTCATACAAAATCAAAAAATAGCTCTCGTAAAAAAATAAGTAATTTTTAGGCTGCACAGAACCCTTTGTACATTTGTTACCACATCTGCATGGTTCACCTGCACGGAAGGTGTGGTGTAACAAGTGGCGTGGACACAGCAAGTATTGTCTATATCTTTTGTAACTTAGAATGGATATCGAGCCACAGAACTATAGTTATTTTTAAACGTAACGACTTGTTTTGCGATTAGTCGTGACTTTCAAACACTAGAAAACAAATTAAAACCTGGTCATGCATCTACAGCTAGGACATTGATTACATGTACTAGGCCTAGTGCATGTACTACACTCTAAACAAAGTTACACATAGGACACGTCATATGTGTTCTGTTATAGAACACGCCCGTTCAGGTATTGAATACCAGTGTTCAGATTCAGAACATGGATGATCTGTGCATGAACACGCCCATTCTGTAACAGAACACATATGTGTTCACAGTGTTAATCTACATAATTTAGCTGTAGTGGCTGTAATCACATATAAACCAATCAAATATATATGCCTTCAAATTTGAATTTGTTAATTTTATCGACTCATGTAACTAAAGTGTCATTAAAAACAAGTTTTGTTCAGAATTTTTTTTCTTTTTTTACAGATCATGTATATCATATTGTCAATATTATTGAAACCGGGAAGGTGTTTTTTAGTGTTAGAATTTAGTATAATATATTTGTCAAACACGTATAAATTAAATGATACTGTCTCCATGTAATAAAAGTAGAAAATTCAGTGTCTGCAATATTACCACTCGCTCAGACTAAGTCCGCTGAACACGCATGTTCTCGGAGACCATCGGCTCGAGAGAACACTAGCATTCAGAATTGCCGCGCATTCGGCAAAATCAGGACCGGCATGCTTTACGCGGTCTTTGCGCAGCGCCATTTTTCATTTACCGTTGCCGTGTTAACTCACACCTGTGTATTATTCTATACTTCACTCTTCCTACTTCACTCATACATGCAGGCAGTAAGTATTTAGTGCCTTGAACTTATCAAGTAGCTTTAGATCTTTTTTTTTCTAATTGGAAATGTAAATAGATCTCTATTCCGTGAATTTCTGGCTGGTGACAGGGTGGCAATATGAGCGGGAATTTTAGTAGTAACTCGGTCATAGGCATAGTATTAGTAGTATAATTTGCTTGTACTTGTGTCAAGTTGTGGGTGCATTTCGGATGTACTGCGTATACATCTTTTAGCTTGTCGATGATTAAGGTCAACCCGGGCCCTTGTGTATAATATTTGGGTTTGTTTAGACTTGCCTTACTAAGTTACTTGTCTAGAACACTAGCGTTCTTGTCTAGAACATTTTATGAATCGAAACGGCGTTATCTGGCAAAGGGAGATAACCAAGACTGGTCAGAGTCCAGGTCTATCAGTATCAAGAGTTTTCAAATAGCAATAACTTCGACGATGAAGCTATAGTGTAGTTGCACACATTTTAAATTCATTTACATGTAGGAACTGCAGAACTTGTGAATAGCGACACAAATTAATATTATTTCAGACACTAGACCCGTAGAGATATTATGGCTGATAATATTTTTACTTGTAACTTATGTGTATATTCTACAGACGTTTTTGCATCCTTTAGAAAACATTTTGTCCGTAGTCACAAAAATGACCCACATTTTTCTTTAGCTTGCTGCATTGATTCATGTGGCTATACTTCAAACAGTTGGTCAAACTACAAGGTCCATGTGCATAGAAAGCACAAACATATCAACACAGCAACTGTAGAAAAGGGGAAATCAATGAATATGAAGACGATCCTGTCGCGCACACACCTGGTCTCCCATATAAATGCCATGTTGACTCTTTGTCTGGAAAGTAAGCACAATATGTCACAACCCAGATAACATGCTGACGTTGGGCCAGTTGGCATGGATAATGTGTAATTGTTTCGACAGCAAGCTCGGTTGGTAGACCAGTCACCTTGACGCATTGACAAGGAAACAGATGAAACTGAAGCTTGGCCATTGGACTCAGAGGTTATTGAAAGGTCATAGACATTGATACAAATTTCAGAATTATTTTCCGAGTAACTCAAAGCGTAAATCGGTTCTACAAGATAACGCTCGACACACTAGTTGAAGCCATTACAGGATACTTTAGGTCAGAAGTTTATGACTAATGGACAAGTGTCGGATACACGTGATAGCGTCACACAGCAAACAAGCCTGCGCAGGAGCGACAGCGCTCAATCCTGACGGCAGGGTGTTCTGATGCTAAACTCAGGGGCAAAGCGATCAAGAGCACCCTCCATCGCACGCGTTCGCTCTCCTTTTCGTTGCTCTCTCATCCTTTCTCTTTCGCGCTCTCTCGCTATTTTGCTATCCTTCCCTTCGCGCCCTCTGCTTCCCTCTTCTCTCGCCTCGATCAAGCTCTCGCTCGTCAGACTCCTCGCCTCTCTCTCTCTCTCTCTCTCTCTCTCTCTCTCTTGCGCTCTCTCTCTCTCACTCTCTTCCCTCGCTCTCTCTCTCCCTCTTCTCTCAATTTCTTCTTTCTCGAGGCGGTAGCGCTGCCGGACGAGCTGTACAGACGTCTGATGTGTCTATCAGACTGATTGTCTGATGGTCTTCTAACCCTAGCAAAGCACCGTTTCGTGGAGCTCAGCAAGGCCGTATCCGTTTTATATAACTTCACATAAATGTTTATACTAGTATAATGTTAAATCGGGTGGC